ACTCAAACAGGCAGTCAGCGGTGCAGTGTTGTGATTGGCCCGTCCAGTGATGAGTGGTGGGGGGGGGAGGCAAAGCAGTTACCGTGCACCTAGCTCAAGGGGCCCCCGAAACTAAGTACCCGGTTACTGTGTACGTAGATACTGAGACTAAGTACCCGGTTACCGTGTACGTAGGTACTGAGACTAACTAAGTACCCAGTTACCGTGTGCGTAGGTACTGAGACTAAGTACCCGGTTACTGTGTACGTAGATACTTATAGTACTGACATGCCTGGTTACCATGTAAATAGACACTTCGAATGTTAAATGTATCCTAAGCAAGGGCAAAGTCGGCGAATAAGAAAGTCGGAAAGTCGACTCGACGTTTTCGCCAAACTCTAAAAGTCGACTGTGACTTTGACCTTGATTTTACATAGAAGAGTGAAGCTACGACTTTCTATGCTCTTAGCCTAGGCCCTACAGGGTCATGGGTTTTGGGCTGACTACTTCTATTTTTAGCTCTTCGACTTCCGGCATCGGAAAACAAATGTTGTGGGATTACTGTAAGCCTCTAATAGTTTGTTTCTGCGCAAAATTTATTTCATCTTACTTTCGTTTTAAAAATCAGAATTGAGCTTTTAAAAATAATTCATAGAACCTAATTTATGTGTAATCAACTGTTTTGATCGCATAGTTATTTACGTGTGTTTTTGCAAAACCAAATCTGATCTCTTGGAATTTGAACGAATGAATTATAATATTACAGTGAAGCCAACAAAATAACGGAAGACAGCCAAGACAGCAATCATTAGTTTTACAGTAATTGTTCCAGCGGTGACTGCGACTGACACGTCAGCACTGCACGGCACTGCGACACTGCAGGCCAGCCAGCCTCGCCATGCACACACACGAAGGCGCGCCCGCACACACACACACACACACACACTTGGGCCTAGGTCTTGATGAAAACTTTTTTTTTCTTGGCTTGCTCTAACTTCGCCGCACCCACCCACCCCACCAACGTTGACGACTCCCCATTGAAGGGCAGGGGAGGCTGGTCTTGATCAAGGCTAGGCTAGGTAACCGAGAGTCGAGAGTCACGAGCGACTGGTAGATGAGAGTCACAGCGTCGATCTTGGGCTCACAGTCGACTAGTAAAGTCGATTTTGCCCTGGCCTAATGTATCCTGCGTGCTCATATGACCTTGTCTTAGTTGCGAGCGCCAATTCTACCATCAGGGTTAGATTTTTTTTTTTTTTCACATCAGATCACATCATGATATAGAATGAAAGCCTGTCCTTGTAGCTTTTTTCTATTTACCGTGACATGTCATTTCATGCCTGCATCACTCCAACGTTCATCACTCCAACGTTCTCTTCCAGGTGATGTAACTAAACAAGTCCTAACATGGAGGCGCAGAAAAAGCTCACTGTTTTGAAATATGTAAGTATTGTGTCTGTGAAAACTTGCGTCTCTGACTATGAATTTCATCTTCCTGACCTGTAAAAGTATTGAGAAAAAGGCGAGGAAGAGCTAGTTCAAGTGTGCATAAATGTCACAGTAATATGTAGATAGAGCTCACTTTTGATTATTTTTATTTTTTTTGGCCGGGGGGGGGGGTGTTTGTTTTGGTTTTGGTTTTTTGTTCTTTTGGTCAACAAAAAATATGAAAAGACATTTTCCAAAATTTTAGGCCTTTCAACTACCTAAAATATCAGTCTAGTTTTGTGTTCTTACAACTTTAATACAATTTATGATGCAGTCAAGTCCGTTAAAATCAAAATCTGCTGGGTTGGTGGAGATTTTCTTTGTTAAGAGGGATTGAAGTAGCAAGGGGGGGAAATCGGAGGATTCCATTGTCACTGCCGGTTTAGTTTGTCTGCTGCAATGAGCTGCAGGTTAGTTGATCTACTGCCGGACTGTTCTGACTGCTGGTTTTGGTGAGAGTCTAGCGCAAGGTGCCGACATTTGTTTTTTTGTTGTTTTTTTACTTTTAGAAAAAATCTCATCTTGTGTTATAATATTGAATTTTAATTTAGTGAATATCATTTTTTTAAAAAGTTAGTTTACATTTGAAATGTTTTTTCTTTTGTAATATATAATAGAGAACAGCTGAGTAACCAATTGAACTGTTTGACTTTTGACTATGTCCTTTTCATCTCTTCAGGTCCACAAGATAGGGGGTGAGGCTATTGAATCACTCTCAGAATTAAAAAGTGGACATTTTTACCTTCATGTTTTGGGAATGCTGTAAGTAGAAGAAACTCATATATATACATATATATATATAATATATTATAAATACTTATATATGACATTTCCATATGGTTGTAACAGTCACAGTAAGTTGCGCCTAAAAGTAGAGAACTTAATCGCATTTTGCAACAAGTAACTCATTTTGTAAACACCCCTCACATTTAGTATTGCTGTTACTTCCTAAGTAGTTATGAGGCTGTGAGGATAGAGTGCTCTCTACTCATTCTCTCCTCAGGGTTCTTCAAGATTGTAAGCACAAATGGATCCGTGTCCTTGCAATTTATTTCAGATCATGTTTTCAACAGGGATCCAAAGAATGGAAAATCTGTTGGGGTTTGTTTTTGTTTTTTTTTGGTGTTGTTGTTTTGGGGGGGGTTGTTGTTGTTGCTGTTGTTGTTGTAATTGGTGATGGTGTTGTTGTTTTGGGGGGGGGGGGGGTTGTTGGGTTGTTTTTTTAGTCCCCTGTTTAACTGGGGTCTAATATATTTGAATATGTAGGTTCACTCGTTACAGAATCAACATGGTGTTGCACTGGACACGGTTTATTGCTATTTTGTAAAATAAATTTTACGGTGCTGTGTACCTTGGTTCACCATTTCAAGCTATCTATTCTTGTCAGTTTTTGGAAAATTTAATTGCAAAAAAAAAAAAATCAAATTTGATTAATTTACCATTTTGTTTGCTTTTCAGAGAACAATGGAATCCTGGTAAACAAGAATTGAAATCTGATAAGGAGCGATTGCTGTGTGTTAAAAAGTTTTTGCAAGGTAAATATTTTAGTGTTTCAGTCAAGGACTTTTTTTGTATTGTTTTGGGATTTTATAAGATTAAATCCTCTCCCTCCCCCCCCCCCCCCCCCCCAAAAAAAAACAAAACAACCCCCAAACAAAACAAACGAACAAAATTTGACTTTCTTATCTCCCGAACTTCTATCTAAATTTAGAAGATGCAAGCTAAATTTTACTCTCCCAAAACAGGTGGACTAAATCTAGTAAATAAATTTCAGCAGCCCAGTTAAAAACATTGTTTGTCTGGTAAAGTTTTGAACAATTTTTTAATATGTGAATGTATTATACTTTATATTATGCCCCCTATTTTATGATTTCATGTGGAAGGAAATCCTTAACTTATCGTTTTTTAATTATATAGAAGTTTTACACTTGAAAACTTTCTCAACTGTGATCAATTATTTCTTTATTTTCTCCTCAGATTTTTATGAAAATGACCCGCAACTTGAGGAATTTCTCCAATTTGACCTTGTCCTTGGTGACAGTAAGTCGGGAGACAAACAAGAACTGGAGCTGGCTAAGGTACTGCTTGTCCTATAAACGCATTCACAATGTGATAGGTTGGTGCTCATATGACCTTATGCAGTTGCGAGCTCCGTTAAACCTCTACTAAAAATAAGCAAAAAAAGTGTCACATATGGGTGGTTGGCGGGTGCTCTGGTGTGGTTTGCTTCTTCTTTCTTATCAAACATGTATCGTCCTTATTCTTTTTTGTGTTTGTTACTCTCTTGTAACAGTTCACCTCTAATCTTCAGCACTTGCATGACCTTATTGTGTTGCATGTGCCGTAAAACACCAACTAAAACATCAGTCTCTCCTTTTGCTTCACATGCCTATTTCTCTCTCTCTCTCTCCCTCTCCCTCCTTCCCTCCCTCTCACCTCTCTGTCTCACACACACACATGCCTATTTCTTGACCTGCTAGTTTTGTTTGTTCCCCTCCCAGATTGCCGTGGTGCTCCTGGGTATCGGCGTGCTGGACAAGAATGGCCAGACGTTCATCAACGCGGCCCTCCAGCTGCCGCAGGAGCTGCACGGAGACATCATGGAGATCATCCAGTCGGTGGTGCAGGCCGGGAGCACAGAGGTGGCGCTCACCACCAAGGTCGAGGAGGTTCTCTGTGGCCCAACAGGTATGGAGCACACTACTCTCCTTCTCATTTAGTTTTTTCACTTCACCAACTTACTCTAAGGTATCGAATAAGGGCCCCCCACCCTCTGCTTATTATTTTTTAGGTTTTTTTTGCACACACATTTGTTCCTACTAGTACAGAGGTATGAGGTTGAATGTGCCGCCCCCATTTATTTTGTTCCACTTGTGTGTCCCCGCCTTAAAAAAAATAAATTATTATTCGAAATATTCCTACCGTCCCTTTGATTCGATACCTTAGGGTATGTTTGTCATCTGCATAATTGCTGTTCTTTGATCCTTTGATAGTCCTCTGTTATTTCTTGCTGGCCTATTATTTGTCCTTGTTTCAAAACTGCTGTCAAATAAGTGTGTCAGTGTACTTTTGTATTCTAACCACTCACACCAGTCTCATCAATTTTCAGGAATGGGTCCAGAATGTGATATTATATATGAAGTTTGTGTAGAATCTTCCAAAATGATCTGGCAGGTGGAACATCATGTCATGCGTTATGTTTATTTTTATTTTCAGAATTTAGAAACTCAGGTATGATACATATCATACATGATGAATTTCTCCCATTTCAAAAGTTGCAGTTATTTTTCATTTTCTTGACATTTGTTCTGTTGAGTTGCTCTCGCTGTTATCGGAAGAGGGTTGTGCTTATGGCTTCATTGTATTGTAAAGTTTGTTCTTGTTCTTGAATAAACCATATTCAACGGAACCTCTTTATTGCACCAAAAGTTGAAACATTGCCTCACAGTTTCCCTCTTTAACAAGTTTAATTTTTAGCCCCTTTAAACGGATATAGGAACCACCCCTCCCCTTTAACATTTGAGAAATGAAAAATAACTAAATGGTTTGGTTTCAGGGACTCATGTTTTAAGGAGGTTTCCTAGCGGCTTGCATGCATCTGTGTCATATTTTATTTTCCTTAAATAGTCTAACTTAGAAAAAATGATATATTCAGAAAAAAAATAATATATTCTCTTGACACTCATCCTGATAATTGTCATCAACCATCCGAAGATCATCTCTCACGGTTCATTAACTCATAATCACACTCAAAAACTGCGTCGTAAAGAAGAAAATTTCCTTGTTTGAATTTCACCTAGATGTGAGGACTGAGAACCCTGGGGCCATTATGTTATCATGGCTCGAAAGCAATGAGAGTTCTCTTTCCCTAGCTCCCAAACCGGAGGAGATTCTGGCAGAAATCTCACCCATTAAAGGAGGTAATAAAAACAACACACACACCACCACCATCACATCATCTGTAATTATAACCTCCATCACCCTACATACCCACTAACATTGCTGCTTTTGAAATGTACCAATCCCCCCGAAAAAAAAAAAAATCAATTTAACCATCCTCACCTCGGAAATGGAGTTTCAACTGCCTTATAATCTTATATCAATTGTTGAATCCTAACAGCTTGCGTACAGTTCACTTTTACTTTTCCGTTCCAGGAATACAGTTCACTGCTTAAAAAAGATTAGAATGAAAATCATAATGTGGCTCTTTTGTTAAATGAATATCAGACATTTAAGTAAGGTATCTTATGAGCTTCAGCGCTTTCTGAACCTGATGCTTTCATATAATATTTTTGTTTGTGTAGCTATGGTGTATGTCTTTGTGTGTTGTTGTTGTTTTTTTTTTTCTAGAGCGTGTCCCTCTTTTTACTTATTGTGTGTGTGTACAGTTGCAAAAATACAATTATTTTGTGAAGTTTAAGTATTGCAAAGAAAAGTTTATGGCCTAGCAAGTGTTATAAGTAGCTCTTGAATTGTGTTTATAAAATGTTTTGTTTGTGTTGCTCTTGTTGTTTACCTTTCCCTGTCATAACAAGAATGAACTGCCCCTTTTTTTCCTCTACGTCTTTTGTATGTTTGTCACTCTCTTGTGACCCGCTATTTCCGGGGTGCCTTGTTAGTCGAAGCAGAATTCTCTGTTGACATCCACCCCTTGGTGCTCATATGACCTTATGCGGTTGCGAGCGCCATAAAAACTACTAAAACAAGTATTCCAAAGAACAGTTCATGGTCTGTCAAATGTTCAAAGTAGCTCTTGAATTGTGTTTCTAAAATGTTTTTTTTGTGTTGCTCTTGTTTACCTGTCACTGTCATTATAACAGGAATGAAACTTCCACATCTGACGTAATTCAAACTGTTCTGAGAAGGCTGAAAATCTCACTTTTAAGGAATTTCTTGCCCTCCCAACCCATGTAACATGTACTCACAACACACATCCACTGATCGGTGGAAGTCTTCATCATACCTCACTTTTCCAAACGGCGTTTGGCGGAGACTTACATAAAGCAGTCGATTTGTCATAATCCTGAGATAAGTTTACTCACGTGTATGGTGTTTGGTGTATGTGTTTGTCTTTTCTTCCTTCCTTTTCTTTTTTGGCTTTATAAAAGAACATTATTAGGTACTGTCGTCATGTTTGTACCAAATGGTTACTGTAATTATACTAATGAGCTTTCCGTTATTATTACTTTCCCTATTTGGCTGAATAAATTTCCTCTATTCCTCCTGTAGATAGTCCGGTCTTTGTCTAAGGAGAGGGTCGCCAGTTTGTAGTTTGGTTTCTTATTGTCTTGCACTAGACTAACACAAAATAATAATAGGTTAAAGAATGTTGCTTTTTCTTCTCTGCTGTTTCTGATATTCTTATCCTGTCATTTTCGCTTACGAAATGAGATGTAGACATGTTTGTTTTGTCCACTATAATACTGATATGCTTCTGGCATTGGACAGTAACAGTTCTGTGAGGTGTGTTCACAACTTGTTCCCTGCCATTGCTGCATGGTTTACAAACATTGATGTGCAGAATCATATATGTTGCGACGCAGTGAAATCAGGCGCTCGTCAATTTTGGGGCATGTAGAGTTATTGGTATCATCTTAAAGCTTGTTAATTTATCTTGCTTTGGATGAAAAAAATATTCATTTGTCTTGAATGGAAGTAGAGATATTTGCGAATGGAGGTGGGTGTCACCTGGTTTCAGAGGTAAAATTAGTGAGAAAATTTCTGTCAAACATGAATTATTTCCTTAGCTTGGGAGTCAGTGAAAAAGGACAATTTACATCTTTTATGTCTTTATTTAATCGTTTTCCAGTAAAATCTACTCAGAAATGTGTTCTTTAATGGGCGTGAAAAGTGTTGAGTTTAAAAAACGAAAAGAAAATTCTATGAAAATCACAAATCTGCGGAAAAATGCCAGTTTCTTCACTTTGATTATTTTGAAGAGCACCTGATTCCATTGCGTCACGACACATATGCTTTTTTCTTTTTCTTTACCTTATGTCTACTTTTATTCCGTGTTTAAGGCCCTTGGCCCATATCACATAGAGCGCGCACATTTTACAGAAGAGACTCCTGAACCATTAAACGTCAATGTGGGTAGTTGGTGGGTGCTCTGGTGTGGTTTGCTCCTTCTTTCCTATCGAACATCTATTGTCCCGATCTCTCGTTCTTTTTTGTGTTTGTTACTCTTTTGTAACACTTCTAATCTTCAGTGCTTATTTGACCTTATTGTGTTGCAAGTGCTGTAAAACTCTTATTAAAACTGAAACATTATACATCAATAACATTTTAAAGACATTTTGTATTGTTACGGTACCTAAAATAAAAATAATATAGGTTATTCATATATGACCTTATTGTGCTGCAAGTGCCGTAAAACTCTTACTAAAACTAAAACATCTATCGTCTTTATCTCCCCTCCTTTTTTGAGTTTGTTACTCTTATATGACCTTATTGTGTTGCAAGTGCTGTAAAACTTTTGAAAAAAACCCACAAAAGAAACCCTTTAAGTTACGTATTTCGTTTTTACGACTAACAACAAGATCATACTATTTTTCGCTCTCTGCTTCGGTTCAGAACAAGATGAGAAATGTTTGTCCCTATTTCGTTTTAACGACTGACTGTGACAACAAAAATCATACTATTTTTCGCTCTCCTCTGCCTTATTTCAGAACAAGACGAGAGATGCTTGTCCCCCGTTCAGAACATCGTGAAGTCCAATGCTTTTATGGACCCGGCCGTGACCTCCACGCCCCGCGACCCCCGCTCAGTTCGGAACGTCGCCGTGGTCAAGGACAGCCCCCTGAAGGCCAACTCGTCCCTGCTGAACTTCTCGCTGCGCGACCTGACGTCCCCGCTCCGCGGCATGAGTCTCAACTCCTCCGTGGCCTCGTCGCCGCTCGCAAAGTTCGTCCAGTCCCCGGAGTTGATACAGAAGGTGGGTCGCGCTGTTACAGTTCCCCCAGGGTGGTTCACGGGCTACTGGCCAAGTTGTTTAACCCTATCCGTACGTCGTGTTTTACTATCGTATCCATACGACATGAAGAACTCTGTGCCACCACTTTCCAAAGAAAGAGGAAATTTATTCGTTAATTATCCGATCCGTACGCTTTTCATAGCAGTCTGTCGAAATGATTTTCTGACAAATACTGAAAGTTTCAAAGAGATCTTCGTACTAGAAGTATTCTAAAATTTGAAGAATACAATCCCGCGGATACAAAATGACCCCAGGGCTTACTGATAGGGTTAATGAAGACGGGACTGAGAATGAAGCATTAAAAACAAACCTGACTTTTATGTCTGTCTCTTGTTTATGTTGTTTTTGGAGTTTGCTGTTTGGCTCAGTGCATTTTGACGTTATATTGGGTTTTATTTTAATATTCCCCTTTTAAGAGAACCGCTGCTTTTTCTTTCCTCATCCTTGCTGTCATCATTTCCAGAGCGAAATGCTCGCAGCTAAAGGAATTTGAAAACAACCACAACTTTCATCATTTGTCCTCTACTTGTTTTGTATGTTTGTCACTCTCTTGTGAAGTGCTATTTCCGGGGTTGCCTTGATAGTCTAAGAAGACTTTGTGCTGTTGAGGCTAGAGAGGTGAGCAGAGTGGGCCGTAAAACCCTACTAAAACAACATGTTGTTTGCTGGCATTAGTTTACACATTGTGTTGTTGTTTGCTGGCATTAGTTTACACATTGTGTTGTTGTTTGCTGGCAATAGTTTACACATTTGATTTGCTGTTTGCTGGCAATAGTTTACACATTTGATTTGCTGTTTTCCTGCAGGCTGTTCTGAAGCAGAAGGAGCTGGAGCTGCGTAAGGTGAAGCAGCAGCTCAACGACCAGGTTCTCCTCAAGGAGGAGGTGCAGATGACCCTACAGGACCAGGTGGAGGCCGGCGTCAAGAAAGGTCAGTGCCCTGCAGATGACGCAGCTGGAACCTCTTTTCGTTTTAAAGACGTTTTCTCATTTAGTTGGATTTGTTTGAATACAAATCGACTGTTTGTTGTATGACTCGTTCATATGCCATTTTGAAAAGTGAGGCATGGTAAGGTCTAACAGTGAGCCATAGATATACTTTCTTGTAGTCATTCAAGCTGAATTGAGGGGGGAGGGGGGGGGGGTGTTAATTCATGTGTGTCCTGTACTGTGAGTTTTTGTGTAAATTATACCATGTAAAATGATATTTTGAATGTCTTTGTGGAGTGCAAAGTGTATGTCCACTTGTAAAATCTTTTTTTTTTTTTTTTTCTTTTTCTTTTCTTTGTGTCTCATTATGTAGTTAGTCCACCAGGCCCCTGTCATTGTTCTCAGCACATGATTTTGTACTCTTCTCTAATCTCTAATGTTCACTTTGGCTGTTTTTGAACCTTTGCATTCTCAACGACCAGCCTGATCCTATAGCGAACAATTTCCCCAACGCAGTCTAACCAGGTTCGCTATGAATGCCTGGAATTTTGACTAGCCAAGATCACAACTTGGCTTTTATCCTTTTCAGAGTTTCTGTCCGGCTGTCTCTCTTTGGGTTTTTTATGTTTTTAAAAATCTTATCCATATTTGTTTGTTTGTCTTTCAGACGAAGACATCCTCAAACTCCAAGAACGGGTGAAGGAGCTGCTTCATTTGAAGGATTCCTACGATCAGCTCCAGGAAATGAAAATCAAATACTCAGAGATGGAAGCTCTGGTAGAAAAGTCAGTAATTTGTGTGTTTTCAAAGTGTAAATGGCTTTGTGTGTTTTCAAAGTGTAAATGGCTAAATTAAAATATGAAACCTAGAATCTGTGTGAGCAGGGCATGTTATTGTGTTGTTGTCAACCAATAACCTACTTCCACATCATCATGATGCAAAGGATTCAGAGCCTCTTCAGGGTCAGGAAACTGGCTTCAGTCTCAACAGCGTGGGCGGTTGGTGGGTGCTCTGGTGTGGTTTGCTGCTTCTTTCCTATCATACATCTATCGTCCTGACCTCTCCTCCTTTTTTACATATTTGTTACTCTCTTGTAACTCCTCTAGTCTTCAGCACTTATATGACTTTATTGTGTTGCAAGTGCCGTAAAACTTTTACTGAAGCTAAAAATGTATTTATCTCGTTTGGTGCGTCCAGGATGACAAAGAAGGTGGAGTCGCTGCAACAGTACAAGGAGCAGTGCGGACTCCTGGAGAAGGAGAGCAGCCAACACTGCGAGGAGATGAACAAACTTCACCAAGAGGTGAGACACACCTTCGGCTGTGTGCCATAGTTTGATCATCATCATCTGGTGCCTCGCCGACTGGCGTGGCCGATCATGGACCTCCGGCTGCCTGTCGTAGTTTAACAAAGTGCACAACAATTTGTTATTGTGGTAATCAGAAGAATCAGTAAGATAAGACGCCTTATTTCAATCAATGTTGCAGGCATGCTCTCTGTCTCTGTTGTCTTGTCAATACTTGACAACTGTAATTCTGTTCTGTTGTGGCCTAGTGGTTAGGCTCTCGGACTCGCCACCGTAAGGTCGTGGGTTCGAATCGCGTCAGGGGCCCGATGTTGTGTCCTTGGGAAAGGCACTTTACACGAATTTTCCTCACTTCACCCAGGTGGGAATGGGTACCCGGCTATAGACAGCGAAAGATCTTGTCAGTTTGTTAGTGTTTGAGCGCTTAATCAGCTGCTTGCACTGTATGCTTCCCGGGAAGCTGAGAATGTTTCGGAGTGTTCTGTGGTCTGCTGGGGTAATAATATAGTGTAAAGCGCATAGAGCCTGCTGTTGAGCGGGGATATGCGCTATACAAATGCTATCTATTATTATTATTATTATTTTGTATGAACGAATGAGGAAACTGCAAGTGGCCCAAAATAACATCGCAAGACTAGTGCTGAAGAAAAAGAAGAAAGGTCCTGCATCAAAAATGTTTTGTTTGATTCCTAGTTATAGCGTGTTAGTAAGTGCTGATATGTTTTGTTTTTTACTGCTGTCCTTTCGTGTATAGTTAATGTATGGTTGTATAAAAGTTCTTCTTTATGTGGTTGAACTGGTTTTTCTTGTTTCTGTGAAACATTTTCTTTTGTGTGAATGATTATGTGATTGGTGGAAAGTGCTCAGAGCTTATACTAGTATGGGATAGAGCGCTATTCATCAATCACATGATCATTCACACAAGAGAAAATATGTCATTGAAACAAGAAAAACTAGTTCAACCACATAAAGAAAAACTTTAACAACCATACTTTAACTATATACACGAAAGTACAGCAGTAAAAAAAAAAAAACATATCCGCACTTACTACCACACTCTAACTAAGAATTAAACATGTTTGTTATGAAGAAGCTGGTGAAAAAGCACCATGATAATATAATTTCTTGTTTTGGCCAACTAATTTTAAAAAATTAATTACACATCTAATGTATCTTATCTTACTGTTTCCATTATCATCATCATCATCATCATCATCATCATCATCATCATCATCATCACCATCACCATCACCATCACCATCATCACCATCACCATCACCATCATCATCACCATCACCATCACCATCACCATCATCATCATCATCACCATCACCATCACCATCATCATCACCATCATCATCATCACCATCACCATCACCATCACCACCACCACCATCATCATCATCATCATCATCATCATCATCGCCGACTAAACAATTCCCCTTGTTCTTGTTTTGTTTTTCTAGAAAACATAACAATTTGCACAATGTCATACATTTGTACGTAACCTACAAATATCAGCACCAAAATCAGGGCATGGGACCCCCCAAAAAAAAATCTATCTTACTGTTTGCGCCCACTTCCAACTTACAGATCCGGACTTTAGAAGAGGACTGTGTAGAGGAGAAAGGTTTTGAGGCATTTTGCACCTTGTTTGTTTGTAAAATTTCATAAATTATAATTTGTTATGAAGAGTATGGAGAAAAATAAGCACAGTGTTAATTTCTTGTTTTGGCCAAATAATTTAAAAAAATTAATTTCATCACTTCATATCTATCTTATCTGATTGTGTCCACCCCCTTGACACTTTCAGATCCAGACTTTTGAAGAAGACTGTGTAGAGAAGAAAGGTTTTGAGGCATTTTGCACCTTGTGTGTTTGTAAAATTTCATAAATTATAATTTGTTGTGGAGAAGCTGGTGAAAAAGCAGTGTTAATTTCTTGTATTGGCCAAATAATTAAAAAAATTAATTTCATATCTATCTTATCTGATTGTTTCCTCCCGCCTGAAACTTTCAGATCCGGACTTAAGAAGAGGTTCAGAAGCACAAGGTTTTGAGGCATTTTGCACCTTATGTGTTTGTAAAATTTTATAAATTATAATTTGTTATGAAGGAGCTGGTGAAAAAGCGCAATGTTGATTTTTCATGTATTGGCCAACAAATAAAAAAAATTAATTTCATCATTTTATATCTATCTTTTTGTGTCCGCCCACTTGGCACTTTCAGATCCGGACGTTAGAGGAGGTTGAGGAGAAGCACAAGGAGCTGGTCAAGACCATCGGTCATCTGGACACCGAAGTGACCACTCTACGGGTACACACAAATCTTTGTCTTTTATTTGTGAAACCTCCGTTTCAGTTTCGCCGTGGTTGATTAATTTTTAAATTATATTTTTTTTAAAATCATCGTTCTATTCTTTCTACATATTTTTCTGTTCGTATTCTTTGAAAGGGCTTCTCTCTCTCTCTCTCTCTCTCTCTCTCTCTTCTGGCGCTGCGGCTTCATAAACGGTCAGCGATGCCGACAGCTCGCAGGAACTCAACACTCGCACGAGGGGTCCTTAAAAAGTGCTGAAAGTGGGTTACTGAAATGTCCCAGCAGACTTGAGAGGGCTTGTGGGTGGTTGGTGGGTGCTCTGGTGTGGTTTGCTTCTTCTTTCCTATCAAACATCTATCATCCTTATCTCCCCTCCTTTTTTGTGTGTTTTTTACTCTCTTGTGACACCTCTAATCTTCGGCACTTATATGACCTTATTGTGTTGCAAGTGCCGTAAAATTCTTACTAAAACTAAAACGGTTGATACATTTTAATATATTTTTAAAAATCATCATTGTATTCTTGCTACATATTTTTCTGTTCATATATTCATTGAATGGGCTTGCTCCATGTCTGTAGTTTGATGGTTTGATGGTTTACTGCTGTGGCAGAGTTACTGTATGTGATATGGGGGGGGGGGGTTTGTCAGATGTTTATATTCTTTTTTGCCATGCCATGGACACAAACATAAATGAACTAACAGGGTACCCGTTCGATGAACGAACTCAAAAGAATCGATCGTCAAGTCTTTGTGGGATTGGTGCGCACTGCTTGTGAACGGAAGCCTTACTTGTTTACAATGGTGTCTTAGAAGACGGACTTTCCCAAGATCAGGTCTAAACGAAACTAATGAAAAACTGAAAATTAAACTACAGTAACTTCAGACTCCTTAATATAACTGTGCACCCTTTAAATGATTCTGAACCACTAAGTTTTTTCATATTTGAAAGTTAAGTGGTTCGGAAGTTTTAGCCGACCAGAGTGACGAACTTTCCTAAATATAATATATAGATAATCATTTCATGGGGGCGAAAAAAGGCTTTCAAATAGTGATTTAGTGTAATTTCCTGTTTGTTTGTATTTATTTATTTATTTATTTTCTTGATATTATGATTTTAAACTTTTTTTTCTTTCACCCCTCAGGTCCAGTTGGATCATGCAAACAAGAGCCGCCTTGAATGGGAGGAGGAGAGGAGAGCTCTGAACAGCAATCTGGAGATGGAAAAAGAGAAGAACGGGGAAATAAAGAGAGAGCTTGAGGAGCTGCTTGCAGCCCAACATGGTCAGTTGAACGGAACTCTTTTTTTTTGTGATGAACATTAGGAGTTTAAAAGAAAAGAGAAAAAAATGCCCTTCCTTTCTGGCATGAAATTAATTGTTCCATTATCCCTTTTTCATTCTAGTCACTGTCGTAAAGTCCCTACAGAAATTTTCAGGTGCCCCCAAATCTATTGCAGACAGTCAAAGCACAAATGTGAAGCGTGCTGACTAAATGAGTTACTTCTCAGATTTGAACCCTATGGAAATCGCTACATCACGCTTATAGGTGAAGTTTTTACGATTTATAAGTATGAAATAATATAAGGCATGTTATACTTTAAGAATACGGTATCAACAGAGAATCTAAAAATTTGACCGTAGGGTCAATTTGTGTCCAATATCTCCATGTGTGGATTGTGAGAAGTAACTCATTTTGTTAGCACGCCTCACAAATGAAAATCAGATAGCTTCAGAGAAATGAAAGGGATGACGGTATACTACTGTGTGCTATTCTTTCTTATGGAAGAACCCGCTTGTCAATATTTTAATTGCAAGCATCACTAAAAGTGATAATCACTTAGATACAGTTCAGCCTCTCTATAACGACATGGTCGGGACCAGGAAAAAAAATGTCGTTATAGAGAGGGGACCAAAAATATTACTACTGATATATAAGGAAATAATCGGGGCCTGGGCACCGTGTCGCTATACAGAGGATGTCGTTATATCGAAGGTCGTTATAGAGTAGAGTAGGTGCACTGTATTTCGTTTGTGCCTTAAGTCTTTCATTCTCTTTATATAGTTGCAGGATCTTTATCTTTGTCATGTTTATCCTTTCTCAGTGGAATGTGACCATTATTGTACTCACTCCTGATAAAACTACAACACTATCTTGATCAATCTTCTCTCCTGTTGTCTTAATGCCTTCTATTTTTGTCTCAGAATATCAGACATCTGTTAAAAGTTAACGCTTTATTTTTGAAAAAGCAAGAACCTGCTTGTTTTAAAATTCATTCATATCATCGTTAAGAGGTCCCCCCCCTCTCACTAAAATAAGAAAATCTTGTGTTATGACATCTTGCCTTATCTTTGCCTCCTCAGCCAATGCTGCACCGGGAGAGTCTATGGGCATCTTTGTGGACCTACAGGTGGGAGAGCTCCGCTGCCAGCTGGAGGAGTTGCAGCAGGAGAGAGATCGGCTGAGGCTGCGGCTGGAGGAGATGGAGAAGTCGCTGGGCGACAAGTCCACTGAGCTGTCCACTCTCCAGGCGTCGGGCGTGTCTGCAGCAAGCGAGATTGAGCGGTTGACGGAGGCTGTGAGGACCAAAGACGCTGAACTAGAGTCTCTCAATAGTCTGGTAGCCGAGCGGAATACTCGAGTCAAGGAAGTAGAGGCGTTGAAGGCATCTGCGCTGAAAGAAGTGGAAGAGATGAAGACAGCGTTTGATGAAAAAGACGGACAGCTGAGACAGGTGGAGGAAATGAAGGTCCAGCTGGAAGAAAACGTCGTCAGATTGGAGGAGGATGTCAAGGAGAGAGAAAACGCCAATGTGGAGATGAAATGTAAGCTCGAAGCTCTCACTAGCCAAGTTAAAAACTTTGAAGAGGAACTTGCATCGAAGGCAACAGAAGCTGAAACATTGGTGAAGGAAAAGGAGCAGGTGGTGAATGAACTCAGAGAGAAAACAGAAGAAGGTGAAAATCTGCAGAGAGAGCTTGTCGAGAAAGAGAAGACATTGTCAGACCTTCTCCAGGAAAAGGAATCTATTTCTGCAAAACTGACAGCTGAGACAGAAGAAAATGAGAAACTTTCATCGGGTCTAAGTGAGACGGAAAAATCTCTGACAGTCGCGCAAGAAGAGCTGAAAAACATGTGTGCCTCAGTGAAATGTCTGACTGAAGAAGTTGAAGAACACAGCGAGACAATAAAGAAACTTCATCTCCGGGAGGCGGATGTTGTGGCCATGAAGGAACAGCTGGAGAAAGACAATCAGGACTTGCAAGAAAATGCGAAGCACCAATCTAGTGAACTGGAACAGAAAGAAAATCATCTCAAGGAAGTCAAAGAACAACTTGTTGAAGCATCAGAAAATGTGCTGTCTTTGAGAAGGCAAATTGATACAAAGGATGGAAGTATTTCTGAAATGTCTGAGCAATGTGCACAGCTGAACGCAGAGTTGTCACATAAGTCTGAGCTGCTCTCCAGAGTTGAGAACGAAAAGGCACAAATGACGGACAAATTGTCAGAAGAGCAAGGAAAGACTCGTGAACTGCAAGCGGAAATTGAAACCCTGAAGGTGGACGTGTCCCATCACGTGGCGGCTTGTGAGGAGAAATCCAAATCTGTCGGAGAACTCTTGGCCCTGAAGCAGTCCTACGAAGAACGTGTTGAAGCCTTGACCAACAAGTTTTCCGATCAGAGCGATGAATGTAGCATTCGACAGCAGACGATTTCTGACCTATCACAACAGGTGGCCGACCTGCAGGAACAAGTGTCTGCCAAATGTGAAGAAACTGGCGGTCTGAGACGTGACTTGACGACTCTCACATCAGAAGTCGAGTCCAAGTCCCAGCTGATCGGGGAACTTGAAAATCAGTTGAGTGAAAAGGTTCAGGCGTATGATACGCTGAGCACAGAAAAAGAATCTGTCCGTACCACTCTCTCTGCCGTTGTCGAAGAAAAAGAAAGTTTCTCCCGACAGCTCCAGGAGAAAATGGTTGAGATCTCCGGTCTGGAGCAGCAGCTACAGGAGAAGTTGTCGGAGGCAACGAGCACCGCGCAGGAAGTGGAAAGTACCAAGACGAGCATGGCCACCCTCCAGGAAGCGGAAGTCAATTTGAATGTTGAAATACAAGAACTCAAAGATCAGAACAGAAAGCTGGTGGAGCAGTGTGAAGAGTTCAACTGCCAAGTGGCCCAAAATGTCTCAGAAAAGGAGCAATTGTTGAAGAGCGTTGAGTCCAAGAACTTGGAAATTGAAGCTGCTCAGGAACAAATTGAAAAATTAAAATCAGAAGTCAAGGAACAAATTGGTACACAGGCAGAACTTCAAAGTGACAATAGCAAGGTGGCGGAAAATCTGGCCCAAGTCTGTGGGGAAAGAGACGAGCTGAAGCAGAGTGTGGAGGACAAGGAGGCTGAGATTGTGTGGCAGCTGGCGGAGATCTCTCGGCTCACGGAGGAGACTCAACAACTGACGACGACTCACCAGGCCACCGCTGGGAGAAACGAGGAACTGTCTGGGGAAATGGCGCTGGTCGTGGAAGAGAGAGACAAACTGACAGGGGACGTGCGGGCTCAGTGTGAAACTATTTCTACACTGAATCAGCGAATGGCGGAGCTGGAAGGGAAAAATTGCGAGCTGGAAAATAACATCAAGGAACTCAACGAGAAGCTGCTCCAGGCTACTCAGGAGAAGGACTCGGTGTCTGCAGAGAAGGAAACCATGGCAACCGAAGCTGGGGAACAGAGCTCTCAAATCTCTCTCTTGTCGCAGGAGTTGAAGCAGAAATCAGAGGCCTTGGAGAACAGCGAGACCACCATCGGTGAACTCAAACAACAGCTGCAAGAGCAGGGTGAGGCCAGGCAGGGAGTGATGCAAGAGAAAACCGAAGTGTGCGCGCTGCTGAAATCGAAGGAAGAAACTGTTTCCCAACTCACTGCAGATCTTGAACAGAAGAACATTGCTCTTGAAGAAAGTGCTCGAAAGATTGAAGATTGGACGGCCAGGTTTGCTGATTTTGAGCAAAAATATAACGCCGATATTTCTGAAAAGACAAGTGAGGCTGAACTTCTCAGAATTAAAGTCGAGACTCTCTCTTCCAACATGAATGATAATGAGAAAACGAGCAGAGAGGAAGTGCTCTCGCTGAAAGAACAGGTTCACAAACACGAGGCTAGCTTACTGCAGAAGAACGAAGAGGTACAATCAAGAGAGACCGTTATTGCAGAGTTGAAGGAAACCGTGACCGGTCAAGATTCGAGAATGACGGAACTGAAAACTGAGTTGGATCAACGCTGCAAGACAGCCCTTGATCTACACAGCGAGGTAGAGTCTCAGGCTAGACAGCTGGAAGAGCTGCGCACGACGGTGGAGGAACAGACCAGCAGCGTGGCTGGCTTGACGGAGGTGCTGAACTCCAAGGAGCTTGCACTCGCCGAAGCCAGGGACAACGCGGAGCTGGAGAGAACATCCGCAAAGAAGTTATCGGAAGAGCTGGAAGGTAAATGTTCCGAGATTTCTGAGCTGACAAACACCCTCGAGGAGAGGTCAACGCGGGCAGCGCAGCTCGAGTCCCGAGCTAATGACCTTGAAAAAGAACTTGGAATGAAAAGTGTTCAGTACGAAGAAATGGTGCAGGCAGTGAGCACCAAAGATGATGATTGTAAACAGAAAGATGAGGAACACTCGCGTGTCGTGTGTGAGGTACAGACACTTCAGGCGGCCGTTCAGGAAAAAGACGAGCAAATCGAGCAGAAATCTCAAGAAATCGCTCACCTCAACGAGGAGTTCAGTAGCCTGAGGTCGTTACAACAAGATCAAATCTCAACCCTACAGAAGGAACACGCTGGCGAGCTGGCGTCTCTAAAGGAAGAGACTGGCACGATGCTGGAAAATCTGAGGGTCAAGTTTGAGGCGGCGAAGGAGTCGGAGATGCAGATGTTGTCGGGCCAGAAGGCTGAGGCAGACGCTCAGCTGGGAGAGGTCAGGGGTCGGCTCCAGAGCCAGCTGGAGGAGGTCAGAGTTCAGGCAGACGCTCAGCTGGAGGAAGTCAGGGAGCAGCACCAGAGGGAACTGAAAGAGGTCAGGGGTCAGGCAGAAGCTCAACTGGAGGAGCTGAGAGCCCAACACCAGAGAGAGCTGGAGGAGGTCAGATGTCAGTTGGAAGAGGTCAAGGGTCAACACCAGAGAGAGCTGGAGGAGGTCAGATGTCAGTTGGAAGAGTTCAGGGGTCAACACCAGAGGGAGCTGGAAGAGCTGAGAGCCCAACACCAGAGGGAGCTGGAGGCGATGGGCCGACAACACACAGAGATGATCCAGGAGCTGGAGACTCAGGCCCAGGACCGCGACTCTCAGGAGGTGGCAGCCAGGGAGCAGATGGTACGTCACAAACTGTCGTGTGTGCTCTTTTACACTTACAGTACCGTTTGAACAGACATATACTCACACACGCTCACATGTTCACACTCACACTCACACTCACTCACACACAAACCACCCACATACTAGCAAACACACACACACACACAAGTATCAACGTCTTCACACATCACAACGATCACTACCAGCTATTTCCTGTTTCTGTAAGGCTCCTCTGTGACCCCGTGAAGACCCCAGAAGTCACTCACTTAGGTCCAAACTTCTGAATTTATAAGGGTCAACAGATCTACTTTTCTTTTTTTAATCCCTTTTTACCCCCCCTTTTTTTTTTTCCATCACAAAATGTCATTTGTATTGACATTGAATGTGATGCTAATGCAGCCATTTAAAATATTTTCTAGAGGTTTTTGTTTGTGAAAAATTTGCTTTTTGTGATGAAAAATTTCTTGAATAAATCTGATTCCATCTCATATTATTTGCCATGAACAGCAGTTTGCGACCTCGGTGCTTCTTGTCATTTCTCCATTTTTTTTAAGCAGAGAAAATAGTTCATAACATAGAGTGAGTTTAAGAAGAAGTCACATTTTCAATGTTAAAAAAAAATATGGAGAAACGACAAGAAAGCACTGAGGTCGCGAGTTGTTGAGGAATGACATCTGCTTGTATAAGTTTGTCATTCAGTGATACAGTGTAAGGTTTTGAATCTGCCACTGATACTGGTTATCGGTTAGAGCAATCTTTTCTCTAAAGATTAGATTTTTCTGGAAGGGATTTTCTCCTCTCTTTTGTCAGAACAAACTTCCTCTGTGTTATGACTTGTGATACTTTTTGTCTTCCATCATTGAATGAACATTCTATCCTAAAATTTCAGATTTTGAGCGTCCGGGAACAATATGAACAACAGCTAAAGGTATGTCATGTAGATTATCACAAAAAGACTTTGTCCTGTCTCATAACTTGGTCAGTCGTTAAACCTTAGAATTTTTTTTAGCTCTGTGTCATGTCTCCAAATTTTAAATTTGTTATAGTTCCTTTGGAGGGGGGGGGGGTCATCATTTTGGTCTCTCATTATTATCTTATCTATGCACTGTAGAATTGTAAATGGGCTGATTTACCAATGTCATGCTCCCCATGTTCCATAACAACATAGAGGGCGGGGGGCTCTCGTGGCCTAGAAGTTAAGGTGTTCACCTCTCCTGGGTTCGAATCCGGGTAGCGACCAAAAAATTATCTTCTCTAAATTTGTCTCCTTTCACCTCCTTTCCTACTCTCTAGCAATGTTCTGTCGTCTGCTTTCGTCTCCTTTTTCTGCCCCCCACCCCTTCATCTCCTTTGCCCCCTCCTCTGGGCTCCTGATTCTTTCTGCAGCCTTTCTACTGCTACTCATTGGCTTCTTCTTACTGCTGTCTTTCAGCCACACCCCTGATCTTCTGGTAGGAAAAATCTACACCTAGCCTTCTCGGACAAGGGCAAAAAATCTCGGAGGTCCCGTGTGCAAGTTGTGCACGTTAAAGATCCCTTGGTGGTCTAAAATCGATAAGAGTAGGCTTCGGCCGCCACCCGGACAAAATTCAAAATTTCCTACCAACTGAAAAACTTAAGTGTGTCCCGCGCGCTCATATGACCTTATGCAGTTGCGAGCGCCGTAAAACACTTACAAAAACACAAAAAACAACATAGGGGGAACTGCTGCTTTTTCTTTCTTCATCCCTACTATCATTTCTGGGATGCCTTGATAGTCGAAGCAGACTTTGTGCTGTTGAGCCTAGAGAGGTGAGCAGAGTAAGTCTGATTCCCCGTTTGAACTTCTCTGTTGACATCCACCCCTTAACGCTCATATGACGTTATTCAGTTGCGAGTGCCGTAGAACTTTGCTAAAACATTCTTTTCTTGGTATGTTACTCTTTGGTAATACTTCTAATCTATGGTCCTTATGTGACCTACTTGTGTTGTAAATGCTGGAAAACTCTTAACGTGGGTGGTTGGCGGGTGCTCTGGTGTGGTTTGCTCCTTCTTTCCTATCAAACATCTATCATCCTTTACTCCCCTTCTTCTTTTTTATGTTTGTTACTCTCTTGTAACACCTTTAATCTTCTGGCGCTCATATGACCTTATGCAGTTGCGAGCGCCGTTAAACCTCTGTCTACTAAAACTAACTAAAACTCTTAATTGAAACTGCGTCGTGTTTCATCATCCCGTGCTTCCTTGTTTCCTCAGAGCCTAGAAGAAGAGAGCAGGCAGAAGTTGTCCATCCTGGAGAGCGACCTGAAGAGAGAGCAGCGGGCTCACAGGGAGATGGAGGAGGAGCTGGGCTGTCAGAGGACGGCCGTGGTTCAGTTGGAGGAGGAGGTGCGCTGGGAGAAGAAGGAGAGGGAGATCCTTGTACACACTGTGAGTCTCGCACGTACTCTTGATGGGAGAGGGGAGGTAGAAGGCACATATCGCGACCTCAGTACTCTCTTGTCGTATATCGAGTGAAAACAGTTCATAACAAAGAGTGAGCTTAATAAGGAGAAGTCACGTTTTTAATGTTTAAAAAAATGGAGATACGACAAGAAAGCACTGAGGTTGCGATATGTACACACAGACATACACACAAATGCACATTACTTTGTTTCAAGGATCATATTGTTACTGCAACATTTCTTAAATGGCTGTTGAAGCTTTTATGTGTTTTGTTCTACTTGGAGGTTTTGTGTATGCAACTCAAAGTCCTTCTTTCCTATCGAAGATCTATCGTCCTTATCTCTCCATGTGCTTGTGTTTGTTAGTCTCTTGTTACACCTTTAATCTTCAGTTGGTGGTTGGCAGGTGCTCTTTTGTGGTTTGCTCCTTCTTTCTTATCAAACACCTGTCGTCCTGATCTCTCCTCCTTCCATTTTGTTTGTTACTCTCTTGTATTCTTCGGCATTTATATAACCTTATTGTGATGCAAGTGCTGTAAAACTCTCACTAAAACATTTAATCTTCAGCATTCATATGACCTTATTCTTAGGAGACTGCTGAGAATATCGTGGAAGGAAAAGAAATCAAATGAGGTAGTGCTTGATGAATCCCATGTGCGAAGCTCACTTTTAAAAACAATCAGGAAACGACAAATGCAGTTTTTTGGGACACCTGAATAGACATAAAGGTCTTGAACATCTAGCTGTTACTGGCAAAATTGAAGGCAAACGAGGCAGAGGTAGGCCCAGAGCAACCTACTAAGGGAACCTAAACAAATGGGAAACGATTAACGATCAGGGAAACGTAGCTTTTTTAAGTGTATCCGAGCGAAGGAATGAATGGAGAACCATGATCGCCAATGTCTGTCGCAGATCTGGCACTGGATAAATGAATTAATTGCATTGCAAGTGCTGTAAAACTTTGACTAAAACCAAGCAGCTCAAAGATTTTTTTCCCATCTGCAGGTACGCCAAGAAAACGAAGGCAAACTATTGGAAATACAGCAGAGTCAGCAGCTGAGGGTGGAAGGACTTGTGGCAGAGAACAGTGCGCTCAACAAACAGATCTCGGAATTCCAAGGTACATATTATTGCCAAGAAAACAGATAACAAACAAACAGAAACAGTGGATGGTTGGCTGGTGCTCTGGTGTGGTTTGCTCCTTCTTTCCTATCAAACATCTATCGTCCTTAACTCTCCTCCTTTTTTTTGTGTATGTAACTCTCTTGTAACATATCTATTCCTCTGCACTTATATGACATAATTGTGTTGCAAGTGCCGTAAAACGCTTACTAAAACAAAACAGAAACAGCAGGAGAGCACTTGGGAGTCATGACCTGAGTGTGGCCTGACCCCCTTAGAATGTCAGGAAGTTATGGACGAACATTACTTGCTTGAACGTGGTTTTTCCTGTAATATCTCCTGCTGTCCGCTCGCCACACCAGTTTTCTCCCACTTACAATCATAAAACTGCAATTCAATATCAATTAATTTATTTCAACTTTAAATGAGCAGAACTTCATGACCTGAGTGTGGCCCGGCCCCCTTAGAATGTCAGGAAATTTGGGCCAAAACACAACTTGCTTGAAGGGGGTTCTTCCTCTGAAGATCTCCAACTATCCACTCACCCCACCAGTTTTCTGCCACCTCATGCACACACATGTTTTGCTGGGTTGATTTTTGTCTGGCCTTCACAACAATATCAGAAACTGGTGGTGGGTGGTTGGATGGCGGGTGCTCTTGTGTGCTTTGCTCCTTCTTTCATATAAAAAAATATCCCCCTTCTTTCTCCTTTTTTTGTTTGTTACTTTCTTGTAACACCTCTAATCTTCTGCACTTATATGACCTTATTGTGTTGCAAGTCCTGTAAAACTCTTACTAAAACTAAGTACTGGAAAGAAGTGCAGTTATAAGTTCATGTAGCAGTCAGTTCTCGGGGATCAAATCAAAATTTCACGCCGTGGAATCAGCTAGTGGGGTGTTTTTGTGTGTGGAAACTGTATGCTTGTGTTGTGGTGGCATGGGAAAAAACAGGTTAGTCCAAGAAACAAGTTTCTGGGGTTTTTTTTAGCACGCTCATATGACCATATGCAGTTGCGAGCGCCATAAAACTCTTACTAAAACTAAACTAAAAACAAGTTTTTTACCTCCTCAAAATCCTGAAGCTGTTTATGGTATCCAAGCAATTTTCTTTTTCTTTTTAAAAAATCATTTTAAATCTTCTCCTCACTGTGACCCCAAGCCAGGCATTTAAAAAATATCAGGAACAGCTGAGAATGTAAGTTTGAATGAATGACGCTTACTTGACTGTCTTGTATCTTGAAAGTGAAGATTCTATTCTCATTCATCAGAAGTTTTTTCCCTTGCACACACACACAGACATTTATGTAGAGGCAAACTCTGACCATGGAAATCCTGGGGAAAAGGTGAAGTGCTGAATTTCTCCTCTTTTCTCCGCACAGACTCGTTAAGTTCGATGAAACGTGACCACCTGAGCCAGGAACTGGTCAAGAAAGATCTGGAGAATCAGCTGTCGGCCTTGAGAGAGGAATGGAAATTGAGCCGAGAAGAGCAGAGAGCTAATGTGGAGCAAGTGGCGGAGACGCACAAGCGAGAGCTGCTGGCCTCGAGGCAGGAGGTGGAAGAGATGATGATGACAATGGCAGCCACTCAGGAACAGCTGGAGGAGATCAAAGTAAGTGCAACAACATTTGTTGAGATTCACTCCGTACCAGGAGGCATATTGAGTTGTGGTCTTTCTTCTAATTGCTTAAGTCTTTTTTGTTCTGTTTTTGTAAGAGTTTTACAGTGCTCACAACTGTTTTGTTTGTTTTAGTAAGGTTTTACGGCGCTCGCAACTGCATTAAAACCGTACTAAAACAAATGAAACAGTTGTCTTACAAAAACAGGACAAAAAGACTTAAGCAATTAGAGTAAAGACCACGACACAATTTGGCTCCTGGTTATGTGCGGTCTTATTAGTCCGTGGGGGGTTTTATTTTATTTTTTTTACTTTTCTGAAAACATTATTTACCCTTGCCAACCTTATGGCGAGAGCCAAAGAGAAAACATTTCAATACCTGGGTTGTCAGGTCGTGAAAGAACCTTGATGGGTGGTTGATGGATGCTCTAGTGTGGTCTGCTGCTTCTTTCCTATCAGACATCTATCACCTTATCTACCCTTCTTCTTTTTTATGTTTGTTACTCTCTTGAAACGCCTGACCTCTAATCTTCGGCACTTACATGACCTTATTGTGTTGCAAGTGCTGTTAAACTCTAAGACTAAACTAAAACACGTTATTATGCACTTTCTCACTGTTGTTTTTCTCTCGTACTTGACTTGAAGGAGAAATACTCGGAGGCATCTCAGTTGGCAGAGGACATGTCTTAAATAACCTTACAGTGTTCAAAGAGAATCTCACTGTACTGTTGTTTTTTATTTTTTTTTAAAAAGAAGAAAAAAAAGAGGGGCTCCAGTGGCTAAGTGAGTAGTGAGTTTTGACTCAAGCAGTGTCAAGCAAGTGTCGGTGACACGGGGATCAGATGGGTGGTCACTGGAATGTGTCCTTGAGCAAGACATGACAACCCTAGCTCAAATTACAGGGCGCTGCACAGTGGCGACCGACAGTGGCATTGTTTGTAAAGTGTTCTGTATTTGTGTAATAGTGTGTATTTATGTATGTACGTATTTATAATTATGTATTTATGTATGTATGTTTGCCATTGTAAAACAAAGTGCCGTTCTGGGGCAAATAAAAGTGTAATTTATTATTATTATTATTTCTCTCGTACTTGAAGGAGAAATACTCGGGGGCATCTCAGCTGGCAGAGGACATGTCTTAAATAACCTTCCAGTGTTCAAAGAGAATCTCACTGTACTGTTGTCTTTCTCTCGTTCGTGAAGGAGAAATACTCCGAGACATCTCAGTTGGCAGAGGACATGTCTTAAATAACCTTCCAGTGTTCAAAGAGAATCTCACTGTACTGTTGTCTTTCTCTCGTTCGTGAAGGAGAAATACTCCGAGACATCTCAGCTGGCCGAGGACATGCAGATGAAGATGGACAACTTGACCGCGGCTCACGAAGTGGAAACTTCCAGGCTGAAGGGACAGTTACAGGACCAAGAGCTGACAGGGAGAGAGCAGAAGACGTCCTATGAAGTGCTTACGGTAATTTGTGCTGTTCTTGTTTAACCCTATCCGTACGCCCTGTGGTCATTTTGTACACCCTATCCGTACGCCCTGTGGTCATTTTGTACCCCCGGGGTTGTATTCTTCACTTTTTAGAATACTTCTAGTACGAAGATCTCTTTGAAACTTTCAATATTTCTCAAAACATCATTTTGACAGACTGCTATGCAAAGCGTACGGTTCGGATTTAGGAGTAAATTTCCTCTTTGGAAAGTGGTAGCTCATAGTTTCCCACGTCGTATGGATATGATAGTAAAATATGACATACGGACAGGGATAAAGAGTTGGCTCACTTTATTCCAGTAATGTTTTCACTTACTTGAAGAAAAACAAAAGCTGGGCCCTGTGGGGAAATCAGAACTTACAAATGATTGCTTTTTGATTCACATGTTAGGTAGTTCGTCCTTAGACCTTTTAATCCTTTGCACTTAAAAAAAATATAGATATGGGGTGAGGCTCAGTCTTCGTCCTATGATGTATGCACGCAGCTCCAGGTGCTAAATACTTAATATGAATTTCTGCCTTTGCAGTTGTCAGGTGTCAGATTGAGTTTATTTGAAATTTTTCCTGTACTTTAACTTTCCTTTTCCGATCCAGCGGCCATTTGAGTTCCAGCCCTTCGGCCTATAATTTCTCGTAAATGTGAGGCAGCGTGGTCGAATCAGGCGCTCATCAAAATACAGAAATCGGAGAAACGGGCATTTTCCCTCCAGTTTTAACATTTTTATCTAATTTTTAATTTTTAGCTCAACCTCTTTCATGTCCACCTAAAAACACATTTCCAAGTGAATTTTACTGAAAAACATTGATTAAAGGCAGAAAATGTCATTTTACTGTTTTCAAGGACTCTTTAGCTGTTGGCGATACTAAACTTTGGCCGTCATTTTCTTGCTAATTTCACCACCGAAACCAGGAGACCTCACTTTCTTCAATCGCAAATATGTTGAGTTCTATTCACGATTAATGGGTACTTATTTAATTAGAAGCAAGGCAAATAAATAAATCAGCTTTTCGATGGTTTGGTACCACTAACTCTACATGCCCAAAAATTGACGAGCGCCTGATTCCACCGCGCCGTGACACAAATATTCTCTGTCCGCAGAACAAGCAGAGCCAGCTGGAGAAAAAATGCAAGACTCTGCAGGAGGACAACCAGGCATTCCGGGAGCGAGAGACCAAGCAGCTCCGGGAGCACGACGCACAGATGAAGAAGGCCAACGAGTTCTGCACCGACCTTCGCAAACAGCTGGACTCGGAAAACAAAAAGGTAGCTGCTTCAGATGGTTTTGTTACACTCAGCAACTCCTTCCAGACACGTTGGCATTGTTTACCTTTAGGATCAATATATGGGGGGCGGGGGTAGGGCACACACCACAACTGCTGAATCACAGTCCACAGATTTATGCCATCCTATAGATATCCATGCATTTTTTAGAACATTTTGCCCCTATAAAAGCTTGTACAGTCGGGCAGGGATAATTCAGACATGTCGAAGATTAAACAAATGTGTT